GGGTCACGCTACTTTCTTCGCAAGCCAAACGAGCTACGAGAGCAACGCTACTTTCAATCTTGCACCGAAACAAAAATGAACTTTGATCATCTTAGATGATTTTTACTCTTCCAGGAATATGTTCTTTTTTTAATTAACAGTGTTTATATAGTCTTATTCATGTCTTTCAAATGTTCCAAAGCTCATTATTTTCCTTGTATCATTTTTTGTTTTTTTTTGGGCTCAACAACAATTTCATTTCCGCCATTCATAAAGTTTTACGCACATTTTTCCTTTTCCACAAATACTTTTAGCCCAAGCTGGCACAAGTAGAGCCTAGGGACGAAATCCACATAGGGATAAGCCTCCTTTGCTATTCTATCTGTCACTCTATTACATTCCCGATACCGGAAATCCACACTTGCTTCCTTGAAGAGCAGGAGTTGATGTCTTGTGCTAATGGGTTCAAGTTCGGTCTTTGTTCATGTCTCCTTATGACTTTAACAAGAATATTTGAATCTGACTCAAAAGAGAACCCGATTATACCCAAGAGAGCTCACCATTAGCATCACCCATCTTACCGCTTATGCTTCCGTATGTATCATACCTTTATTTATCTAATGAATTTATATTATCATCATATAATTAAAGCGTGTGATCTATTTTTAGATTTTATAATATTATTTAAAGCGTTATATATTGGAATAACAATTTTACGAGAATACATCTTGAATTGTATTTTCAAAGATACATTTAATAAAAGGCAATTCTCATATAGACCACCAAATTAAATTTTGGTTTGAAATATAGCAATGTTCCATTCTTTTTTTTTTTGTTTTGTTCTAAATAGCAATGTTCCATTCATACAACAATTTTATAAGTAAAAACTAAAATAATAGTTTTTAGCTTGTTGAGATAAAGACAAAAAAAACTCAAACAAAAAAATTTGAGAGAAATCGTGTCTCTTCTTCTTTATTCGTTGTATTCGTTCTTTTTCTCGTCGCCGACGCTTGCTCGACGTCAGAGAAAATATGATAGAGGATACCTAAATTCCGACAATATTTCCTCCGACATTGAGCAAGTGCCGGTGACAA